TTTATAGAGTGATGGTCAAGATTTCAAGATCAGAATGTCAAATAATCACCCCAGTAGATCATTTCTCACACATATTCATACCTTTTGGTTTGTCATTGCCAACTCACCGTGATTCTTTGGAAACGCCCACCTGCGCGATAATAAGATTTTCGTAACCGGCGCGTCAAATGACCTTAGCAGACAAATTTGTGATTAAATCTGCTCTTCTAGTCGTGAATAAAGAAAGAGATGACAGAAGAGAGCTTATTATTGTACCCCTTATCCGTTTCAACGAAAGGAGCAAAAGTCATAAATATGTTCCGCGTTGTAGGAAATATGCTACACAACATGATGAATTTCAATTTCTTGTAATCTTTTTCAATCTGACTTGAAAACGCGCGAACTCATAGGACTGCGTAACAGATAAAGTTTAAACAATTCTTGCCTACATGTTTTTGTAGCTATTATGAATGCGGATATTTTCTTCATGAAAAAGGGAATTCTTAGAAGTTAGTATTTGAATTCCTTATGTTGCATCTCAACTCTCGCATTTGTGGAGGAAGTTTCATAAGGGATTTTTGGTGCTTAGATGACTTTTAAGGATATGAGCTTGACAACTATTTTAAGTGCGTAACTCAGGTCAGACGTAGGTATCTTCAGCGTCGTAATTCCACAAGGGTATGGGACTACCTAACTTTCAAAGAATGTGCATCTATCAAAAGCTAATAAAAATTATCACTTCACTAATCACTGAGGTGACATCCACATAACCTGATTTCAAGGGAAATCAAAAAATCGTGTTTTGAGAAAATTTGGTTCATTCTCAGGCCTTCAATTTTTGGTTTTAAAACTTTGTTTTATTCATTCTCATATCAATAGAAACTCGGCGGACGCCCAACGAGAATGATGAGAGAACTTCGAGCAGGTGATCTTCGCTCTGGAGATAAAATTGATCAGATTCAGGTTTGATTCGCAGCAATAACCCATAAATTCATCTTATTTGTGAAGTACGCAGGTGGATTGGATGTCTGCACGACGGCGTGATGTTCCTCCATTGGATGACAGCAGGCCGGTCGAAAAATCACGCCCCAACAGCGAAATGAATAGTAGTGATAGGCCGATGATATCCGGTCAACT